ATCGCCGACGTCGGGCAGAAAACGGGGGGGGGTGGGACTCTTGGCTGCCACAGGATCAAGCTTCTGCCTCCTGCCCCCACGGGGAGAGCGGTGGATGGGGGGGGGGCTGAGTGCGGCGGGGGGCCAGGACCCCCTCCCCACCGCTCTCCCCTGCGGGGGCAGGAGGCAGAAGCTTGATCCTGTGGCAGCCAAGCTTCCCTCCTCCCCTGCTTCTTCGCACAACGTGGTGCATTCCAGCCCCTCCTCCTCCTCCTCTCAGTGGGCAGCAGCGTGCCACTCAGAATCGGCTCGCACGCCGTGTTTGGCACACGTTCCGTAGGTTTCCGACCCCTGTGTTAAACAATATGGGACCTAGAACACATCCCGGTGGAACCCCACTTGGGACCTCCCTCCAATCACACGTCATTCCATTAACAGTTACTTCTTGTTTGCGGTTGTTTAACCAGTTCTGTATCCACATAATGGTAGTTCCATCAAGCCCACATTTCTCCATAAGATCAGCCATACTGGGTCAGACCAAAGGTCCATCTAGCTCAGTATCCTGTCTTCCGACAGTGCCCAATGCCAGGTGCCCCAGAGGGAATGAACAGAACAGGGAATCAACAAGTGATCCATCCCCTATCACCGATTTGCAGCTTCTGGCAAACAGGTTAGGGACACTATCCCTGTCCATCATGGCTAATAGCCAATTTGAGATAGGGCCAATGGCTAATAGCCATTGATGGACCTATCCTCTATGAATTTATCCAGTTTTTTTTTTAACCCTGCTATAGATTTGTTCTTCAGAACATCGTCTGGCAAAGAGTTCCACAGGTTCACTTTGCGTTGTGTGAAGAAACACTTCCTTACATTTCCTTTAAACCTGCCGCCTATTAATTTCATTTAGGGACTTCTAGTTCTTGAGTTATGGGAAGGAGTAAATAGTACTACCTTATTTACTTTCTCCACACTAGTCAGGATTTTATAGACCTCTATCATATCCCCCCTTAGTCGTCTCTTTTCCAAGCTGAACAGTCCCAGTCTTAGTAATCTCTCCTTTTATGAAAGCTGTTCCACACCCATAATCATTTTTGTTGCCCTTTTCTGAGCCTTTTCCAATTCCAGTTTGAGATAGGGCCACCGGAACTGCACGCAGTATTCAAGATGTGGGCGTACCATGGATTTATATAGAGTCAATATGATATTTTCTGTCTTATTATCTATCCCTTTCTTAATGATTTTTGATGGCTGCTGCACATTGAGTGGGTGTTCTCAGAGAACTATCCATAGTGACACTCAGATCTCTTCCTTGAGTGGTAACAGCTAATTTATACCCCATCACTTTATATGTATTGTTGGGATTATGTTTACCAATGTGAATAACTTTGCATTTATTAACATTGAATTTCATCTGCCATTTTGTTAACCAGTGACCCAGTTTTGTGAGATCCCTTTGTAGCTCTTCGCAGTCAGCTTTGAACTTAACTCTTTTGAGCAGTTTTGTATCATCTGCAAATTTTTCCACCTCACTGTTTACCCCTTTTTCCAGATCATTTATGAACATGTTGAACAGCACTGGTCCACATACAGAACGCTGGTGGACACCACTATTTACCTCTCTCCACTCTGAAAATTAGCCATTTATTCCTAGCCTTTGTTTCCTGTCTTTTAGCCAGTTACTGATCCGGGAGAGGACCTTCCCACTGATCCCATGACACCTTACTTTGCTTAAGTGCCTTTTGGGAGGACCCTTGTCAAAGGCTTTCTGAAAATCTAAGTAAATGGACTAGGTCACCCTTGTTCACATGCTGTTGACTCCCTCCAAAAATTCTAGTAGTTTGGCGAGCCATGATTTCCCTTTACAAAACTGGAGGTTTTATACATTGCTCTAGTAGCTTTCCATCTGTCGAGGTCAGGCTGACTGGTCTATAGTTCCCGGCTCCTCCTTTTTCCCCTTTTAAAGATGGCCACTCTGTCAGCCCTTCTCCCGTCTTCTGGGACCTCTCCTGGCATCCATGACTTTGCAAATACAATGGCCAGTGGCTCCAAGATTTCTTCGACTAATTCCTTTAGCACCCTGTGTTGAACAACTTCCTGCCCCACTGATCTAAATTACTGTATTTTCTGGCGTATAAGACTACTTTTTAACACAGGAAAATCTTCTCAAAAGT